CTAGCTTTTAAAATTTGTTTGAACTTGCTTAATGAGTTAGAATATATCAGTAGAGAGTTAAAAGAATTTTTTTGAGAAAAATTAATCCGGTGAAAAAAAATTATGCCCCGGCAACAAAATTATAGTTTCCGAAATATTTATGAAAATATATTAATTTATATATACTCCTTATCATAAAGTACAAAAAATGTAATTTTAATACTTTATTTAAATTATGTTAACTGATCGAGCCGTTTTTAAAAATCAACTCAAATTGGACCTAATATTTTACTTCATAAATAAATTCAAATTATATCGATAGTGTATTCGGATAATGCATTCGCTGTAATGCATTCGCGACAATGAACTCTCGGTAATACACATGTTTCGCGATATTATTTTCACGATAACACGTTCGTCCTCTAATACATTCGCGGTAATACATTCGCTACAATGCAATCGCGAGTCGTGATTTTTAATTTAATAACCTTATAAACATGCATTTATATTTTTTAATTATAAATTTCGGGTTGAGCGGGTTTGGACCCAAAAAATTTAATTTGCAGGGTGCTAATTTTGGTTTCGCTTTTAATTATGTGGTAATAGTCCAAGAAGGCATAATACTTAAAAATTAGCCTCTATAAAGTCTGAATTATTGAATATTAATGATCTATATATCAGACTTAACTGGCTTATGCGAAATAATTTTTTATTAAGATTGAAATAGGCCGAAAAAAGCCCTACAAGCATTACTGTGATTTAGATTTTGCTATTTATAATATTAAAACTTTTCGCAAAATGTCTCAGCATTATCGATTTCAATCCCATTTATTTTTATTAATTAGTTTTATATTTATTGATGATTTATAGAAAGATGGTTTTTAAAGATAGATGTATGAAAGTGTTCTGTTTTTATACGAATAATTTTCATATCAATCATATTTAAAATATTTTATAAATAAAACAATTATAGGAACTTCTGTTCTTTCTCAAAAAAATTTTTTTAGCAAGAGACAAGGCATGGGAAATATTAATGTAATATTGTATCAAAAAAAAGAGATGAGAATTATTTGATATTGTAACTAATTTTAATTTGAAATCATTTCATTTAAAAAAAATTGAATTTTAAATGATTCTTAAATCTCAACATGAGGATTTGCACTATTTGGTGGAAAAGGGACCGACCTAAAAAGTTTAAGTAATTATTATTTAAATAAAAATATATATTTTTTTTAAACTTTAAATCAACTTTCATAATAATTTCAAATTATTTTTTAAATGTTTGGATGATCCATTTTAAGGAACGAGTATAAGGCTTACTCGATTAAAGTTGTTGAGCCATTTAAAATGGGTAATTTAATAACAAATCTATAGTATTCATTAAAAAAGGCACTTAAAAAGGTTTTACTGTTATAAAAATTTCAAAACTAGTTTAAGGTTATGAAGCTTATGAAAACATGAATTAAAACATTAGAAATATGAAATTTTTATTTTTAGTAATATACAACAATTCAAAGTTGCAATATTTTATAGATAAATTTGTATTTAAATGTACCTATTTTAAGGAAAGAATGTATAATTATCGTTTTTTAAAAATTATATAATTTACTAAAAAAATATTATTGATTGATTTATTAAGGGTAAAAAAAACTAATTAAATATATTATTTTAAGTCAGAGAATTAATCAAGTTTACTTTAATTTTAAAGTTGGTAAAGCCTCTGGTATAATTGTTTGTTTTATAGATTAGAGGCTGCTAAGCCCTAACTCCCATCCCGTTTTAATTTTTAAATTTTCCTGGCCTGGCCCTTGGGCCTGGCTTTGCAAATCTCTAATATAGATAGATCTTGCAAATTTCGAATTATTTGAAACAAAAAATATTCGAAAAGAATAATAAATTTAGAGTTTTTTAAAAAAAGAGTTAGTTTACCGATTTATATTTGACTTTTAGAGGGTGGCTTATTGCGTTTAGTAAATTATTTTTTTTATTAGGAACCGTAGCTATACCACCTTTTAAAAATATTCAGAAATAGAAGAGAAACCAGGACCTATTTTCAGTTCAGTTTTCAAACTGATATAAATGTATAAAGAACAATAAATGACATCGTTTGCAATTGATACAATAATATAATATTAAAAAAGAAATAAATAATGAACGATTTGTAAATCGAATTCAATATTAAACCTGAAAACGTGTATGTTTTTATTGATAAAATGCTCAATCTGATTTTTAAAAAAAATATTAGAATTTTTTCATCAATATTTGTATTCGAAATAGAATTTTAAAAAAACATTTGTAATATCCTCAAATAAAAAATTAATAATATATATTTTTTTAATCCAATTCGAAAAATGCCGTGACGGGTGGGAGAGTCGTTATTTTATTAGGTGCCCAGGCTAGCTCTGTGTTATGCGGAATATTTCGCACTTTTTATCAATAGAAAATGAGAGTATCTAAGAATAAACAGTTTTCTCACCTGTCAATACAGAGTTTATCTTTTATGTCAGGATGGTCAGGAAATAGTCTGTTGGAATGGGAGGTAGAGAATTTAAAATAAAATTTCATACAGTGAAAGGCACATGTCATTATAGAAGGATTCTTATTTTATGATCCAATTTCTATTCAATATTAAACAGGGCCCCATTTTATCCATTATATAAATTAATATAAAAAACGATTAAATTTATAACTAATAAAGAGTAACATAATTATTATCAAAAGCCCCTCCCTACACCAGCATTTGTTGACCTTAAAAGAATACATATACAGGTTTAATGTAAAAAAACCTAGAGTTACTAAAAGGTACTTTTATAAAGAATTTATATTACATACATATGTATCAAGACAGAGAAACAAATAAGTGGACTAAAAAATATATATAATTAAAGATAGAAAATTTCAAAGATACAATTAAGATGTGCATAATGCCAAAATTAAACTCAAATTATGAAGTATCAAATATTTTATTATAAACTATAATTGTTAGATTTTAATAATAGAACATTCTTAAAGTTTTCATCACTAAAATATACCCGTATCCTTAAATACAATTTTAGCCGCGGTAAAAAATATTTCAACTGAATTAAGTTAATCTTTGTATATAGTAAAATCACGACTAAAGTAATAACATAAGGAAAATTTCACCGATTTTAAATTTCTCCAATTCACATAGTATGTTTTTTGATTAAATAATCATAATTTTTTCATATTTTACAATGGTTGATAAATCCACATTGTGTTTTGTTTTTATATGTAAATGGTCATTCTCAACCATTCTCGATAATATTATAATAGCCAGCTCAAGTTATGTTCATCTGAAGGAAATCATTTAATTAGCAGAAATAAGTTTAATTTTTTTTAATAAGCAGAAATATATTTAAAGTTAAAACATTGAGATAAGAATAATAAGTAGGTGTAAAAAAGGGCAGGGATATATGGCATACGGTTGGTGGTTAATTTTAGGTGAGAGATATGAATTAGGTAGGGTTAATTCATATTTTTATAAGAAATCTGACAGGTGTGATTATTTTAATGAGGTAATGACAATTTTCTTGAGTTGAACCTAAATTTCTTAATATTTATTATAAAATTTTACAACATAATACTAGTTTAAATTTATTATTCTATCTTGCAATCTTGGATATTAAAATTTTATAAAATAATCGTCTAAATCAAATACCTAGCCTAGAAAGTATATTTAAAAGTTTATTAGTGTTGTTAAACGGCTTGATTTGAGCCTATTTTTTAAAAACGGCGAATTCATTATTTTAGGCAAAAAAATATTGTCTACGAGATTTTGTTAATAGATGTTCAAACCTTTGTGCCACCTTTGAGCAAAATCTAAGGCTCGCATAATAATTTTCCTAATAAAATATTGAGTTAGCTGTTTTTAAAAATCGGCTCAAAATGAGCCGTTTAACAACACTACAGTTTATAAATAATATAAAAAATGTTAACGATAATTTTTAGTATTGAATATATTAAGCTGTATCAATTAATTATTCCAAGAAAACTATACAATGCATGCAAAGCGTTTAATGAAATATATTGATAGTGTATCATCTGAAGAGCAAAGTAAACTAGATATAGAAGAAATTATTTCGATCTTTAAAGCCTACATTAAAATATCTTCAAGGTATTTATACTCAGTAAAAATTTAGCCATCATTAAGGATAGGTGGACAAATATAAGATGGGAATGCATTATAAATTTTTTTTATATCAACCCTAAGCACCATTTTCAATAAATCAATTGAAACAGGACCAATGGGAGTAAATACAAATTGAAATATTAAAATATAATTACTGCGCGTTTTTATGGACTCAAATATAATTTTCATAATCGTGTACCCCGCCCCCCTCCCCCATTTAATATAAATTTGTATTTAATAACGTTTTTCTAATTACTTAAACATATACTATTTTAAAAATTATATTATGTTTAATTTATTTCTAAAATTTAAGAATATTTGAATTATACTCAATCAATATATAAAATCTAAGTGAGAAAACTTCGGAAATTTTTATTTTTATTATTATAATTTATATTTCTTTTTATTGATTATTGATCATCAATAAAGTCATTTGCCTTAAACCTAATCTATTAACAAAAATAATTGTAATTTAAGACTGAACTTACCAATTGAATTGTCAAATAAATTTACATTATTGTTCTTTTAATTAATTTTTTTTAGAAAAATTGGTTTATTTGTCACTTTATATAGATGTTCCGATTAGTCCTTTTTTTTAAATTCAAAAGTGACCAAATTGAGGTCACTTTGGAGTTATAATGTATTCTCTATTCTATTAATATAATAATCCCTATTACTAAATTTAAATAAAAAGTTTGTCAATCACTTTATTTTTGGAAACTTCATGTCAACACTTATTTTGTCTATTTTATTATTCAATAAATTATTTATTATTTTTTAAAAAAAATCACAAGATCATGGGGAATTGAAGAGAAAAGAATGCTTTCTTTTTCTTATGACAATAAATAAATTATTTGGCACGTTCTCATTTTAGAAAAAATAATTTATTAAATTTAAAAAATAATTAAATTTAAATATTTTTTTTTAACCCGCTGTTCTGATCTTGGCGTAAATACCAATATATACTTATTTAATATCAGAATATTCTTTAATATATATTTTTATTCGTGTGGAATCAACATGTATTACCGTAGCAAAGGAATGAAAATATAGCATTCATTCAAGGTATAAATTATACTTTAAATATTTTTTAGGGAAAAGGTAAGTATTATTTCGTTTCTAATTTTTTTTTAACCTATAATTTCATTGCATTATAAAAAAAAATAAGGCAAAAGGATGATAGCTAATTTCGTTAGTTCGTTAAAGTTAAATCTTTTATCATCCTAGGAATTGTTATATATATATATTATATTAAAACTAATAATCAAACAATTTTTTTTTTAATGTTAACTCAAAAAGTTCCACCTAAATGTTGAAATCATAACCATAAAATATTAACTATTTTTCTATGTATTTTATCAAGAAACTGGAGTTTGATAACAATTAATAATTGGCCATCGACTTTACGATACAGATTTAAAAAAAACAGGTAATCTCATATGATCCACCTATAACCCCCCCTTACTTATCTTATGTTTTATCAACTACTATTTGATAGATATCATCTGTACATTCACCAAAGATGTAATTCGGATCTCAAAATACTTACCATTACATTTTAAATAAAGATTTTTAAATCTATCTTATTTCTTTTTTGACAAAAATGACCGAAACGACAGATTATGAAGATTATTATCCGTCATATTCCTCTACTAATGATTCGTCCCAATTGCATTTTGACTTCAAAATTCCTTTATTGGAACTCATTCCGATTACCTTGGCTTACAGTTTGACCTTCGTGATAGGACTCGTGGGAAATATTTTAGTGATATTCTGCGTGACTAAATTTCGTAAAATGAGAAGTTTGACCAATATTTTCTTGACCAGCTTAGCAACGGCCGATCTCTTAATCATTTGCATATGTGTGCCTATAAAGGTATTTATAAAATATTATCTGAAATTAATATGATAATTAATTTCCCTTATTTTATAATGAGACTTTCAAGATAGAAAATATTAGAAATGTTGGCTTAACTTTCATGATATTAGGTTCTTTGAGGATTACCAGCATAATTTAATAGTTATTTTTTGATAAATTAAATATTATCAAAGGATTTAATTTTTAATTTATACTTTTATAATTCCTTTTTTAAATTTGAGCTTCTTTGTCTTAACTTATTTAAATAACATCACAATTTCTTAATAATATGTTATTAATCGAAATGGCCGGTCGCCTAATTTAAAATATAAAAAAAATTCCAAGGGTCATTGGCGTACGCAGCGGGGGGGGGACAAGGGGACAAACCCCCCCCCCCCCCCTGCCCCCCCCCTCCCCCCCCCAAAGCCAAAATGAAGATGCCGGACATATTTTTCAAAAATATTATTTTTTATATTTTATTATAATTATTCATATCTATTTCTTTTTAAATTTTTATATTATTACCTTTTTCATTTACTAATTTACTTTATCATTTAATTTCATTTTCAAGTTTTCCTTGTGGCGTAATATTTATCTATTATTTTTAAATTTCCCGGTATTATAATTTTCAAATTTCTAGTCATGGATATTAGACTTTTTTTTAAAAACGCTGAAGGTGAAAATCATGCCAAAAAGCAAAAAAGTATAGTATAATAATTTAATAAACAAAAGCTGTGAACTGATGATTTCCTCAAAAGAATCAATTCAAAAGGGGGATATGATTCCCATCAATAATTGATAAAAATAGGGTTAAAATTGCAAAAGAAAATAGAGGCAAGATAAAACTAACTATTGAGGCTATTTTATATTGTGGCTTGCAAGGCCTAGCACTCCGTGGCCACAAGGATTCAGGAAGCTTAAATTTTAATAATAATGATAACGAAGGTAATTTCCGTGGACTTTTAAAATTTAAAGCATTAGGAGATCCTGTATTAATGGAGAGCCTCATTAGTACCAATAAAAATGCTACTTATCTCAGCCCTAGGATACAAAATGAGATAATTGATATTTGCAACAATATCATTTTAGAAAAATTGATTGTTGAAATCAATTCTGCCCATGCTTCTCAATTTTGGCAGATGAGACCACGGACATTACTGGCATTGAGCAGATGTCGTTGTGTGCGCTATATGTAGATACTCATAAAAACATTATCAAGGAAATGTTTCTCCAATTTATTCCTGTTTCAAGCATGACTGGGTCTGCTTTAGCTGATGTAATATTTGTGAATCTTAAAAAATTATAAGTAATAATTAATCTTATTATATAATTATTTTCAAAAATATAGCTAAATATAAATATGATACGTGGGCAAGGGTATGATGGAGCACGTGCAATGAGTAGACAATTCAATGGGCTTCAGGCATTTATTAAAAAAAATGCCCAACAGCTATATATGTCCACTGTGCTGCCCATTCACTCAACTTAGCAATATCGGATTCATGTTCTTTACCATTGATATCAAATTGCTTAGGTTTTTAATTATTAAAATTAAATTTTTTATATTTATATCAGGTAAAATATCTAGCATCTATGAGATGTTTAGATACCCCAAGTGTCAAAATATTTTGAACAGAATTATATCTGAAACTCCTTGCCCAACAAGGAGAAAAAAATTGTAAAAAGCTTGTCCAACAAGATGGAGTCTTCGACATCAAGCAGTAACAGCTTTTATCGAGTTAGAAGAGCCGATTATTAATGCTCTTACAGAAATATCACAATGGTCTGAAAGAGATATTTCTTCAGAAGCAAGCAAGTTACTGGATTCAATACTTATACCAAATTTTTTTTTCGCATTAGAATGTATTAATAAATTATTTAATTATACAACTATTTTATGTAATACTTTTCAAAAACCTGATATTGATTTGATTGAGATGAGAATAGCAGAGACAATTTTATTAGAACTCATAGAAATTAGCTAATGCTGATGAGGAATTTCATATTTTATATGTTAATGTTGAATCAAAAGCAGAGCTATACGAGTTCAATATTTGTCTCGCTCGACTTGCAGTAAGGCAAACTTATCGTCCAAATATTAATATAGGGTCAATAGAAGAATATTATAAAATAAATGTCTATATACCTCTTTTGGATACATTTATAACCCAAGTAAATGAAAGGTTTTTAATTCATCAAGAAGCACTTATCAATCTGCAGATATTACTACCGCAAAAGCCCTCTGAACCTTTTTCAGATGATGATTGAAAAAAAATAAAATATTTGGAAGATTTTTATCATGAAGACATTAATGTATCTCATGATGCTTTATTAGCTGAATGCCAACTATGGTATAAAAGATTAACTATGGTTGATATAGTCCCAAAAAATGCTATGGATGCTTTGCATCATTTCAAACATCTTTTAGATTATTTTCCCAATATATTGAAATTATTATATATATTAGCAACTCTTCCCATTAGTACTGCAACTAATGAGAGAACATTCTCTTCTTTAAGAAGATTAAAAACGTACCTAAGAAGTATAACTTCTGAAAGTAGGTTGAATGGTCTGGCCCTTTTGAATATAGGCATTTGAAGCCAAACATGGATGAGATAATTGAAAAATTAGCTCACTCCCAACGAAGATTGGATTTTACATTATAAAAATATAATGTTTCTATAATATTTTTTGTGCTATCATTTTTTAATGTCTTATATATTTTTCTTTTACATAAAAAATATAATTATTCATATTTCCAACATTTAGATTTTTTATACTTTATATATAAATTTTAAAAGCTCAAAAAAATTTAAATTTCTATTATGGATTATTTATTTTATAGTCATCATATCCTGGTTATATCCACTTAATATTTTATAATTCAGATTTATTTAAAGTATTTATATGCCGCCGGTTATATCCGTTTAATATTTTTTAAATCAAATTTATTTTTATATATCTGTTTATATATTTAATTTTTTATAATTTATATTAATTTAAATTTGTATATTAGAAATAGTTATTAGTCCTAATAAATTTATGCTTGATATTTTTAAATAACAATAATTTTATTTTAAAAATTTTAATTATCCCCCCCCCCTCCCACACCAAATTCCTGCGTACGCTACTGCCAAGGGTATTCATATATATAAGTTGCATTTACAAATTAAAGTACTTAAGTTGTGACCTAAAGACTTAATTATTTATTATTTTTTTTAAGTTTGATAAATCAACACTCAAAGATTTCTAAAAAAATTTAAAATTTGAACATAAAAATCTGGTTTTACAAAAAGTGACTTTCAGTTAATAATTTTAGTGGACAGTTGCTTGTAATTCCATTCACATGACAGTTTAATCATTATACTAATATAGACCCCTTGTTTTTTGTAATTTGTATTATTTATGTAATTTGTATTATTATTTATAAATTTATTGTTAAAAGTATATAAACTAGATGGCGTTATTGCTAATAGAAGTTTTATTTTTAATTTTAGTGGAAAAAAACATATATTATTTAATGTAATTACAATATAACTATTATATTTATCGATTGAAATATATTCAAATATAAAAAGTACAGGAATATATGATTAATGTATAATGATATTAATAAAAATTTACATATTCACTGATAATTTATAAGAAAGCAAGAAAAATTATAAACTATAATGTATTATTGTCCAAATTGCAATATTAATAATTATCATAAATTTTTTAACTTAAGTGTTTCATTTCAATTTACAAAAAATGGTTAATGTCAAATATTTAAATTTTATTTGCAAGTTTTAATGCTATATAAGTTAAAGTAGTACATTTCTATGATTTCTTTTATTAATTGTCAACTTAAATAAAAAATAAGAGTAAAATTAGCTAAAAATTGTAAATGACGGAAATTATGATATCACAATTTACGGTTTTATATTTCTTTTCCTATTTATTATTTTTAAATGTCTTAAAAGTGTTATAATAAATAGTGATTGCTAAATTATATAAAAAATATATAAAACCAAGCTTTATTTAAATAATGGCTATTAAAGAACCGTTTACCTCTAGAGATATAATATAAACTATATAATCTAATTGCTCTAATATTATTAAACGATTTAGCTGGATCTGCTCAAGTCGATTTGAGTCCAAATTTGGATCGAGTTGAGTATTTTGGATCGATATTTTTAACTTTACCCTGAGAATATTATGATATTTTAACTTACCTAACTTTTGTTTTGAGTCCCTACTTTTGGCAATTTAATAACACTAGTAGTCTCACCTAAAAAAATAAGAGTTAAAGATGTCACCGATCAAAGACGTAGCCAGGGAGGGGCAAGAGGAAATCCTCCCTTAAAAATTTGTCTTTTCTTATAAATATCATTTCAAATTAATAGCCCCCCCCCAACCCCCCATATTCTCCCAAAATGCATACAATATATTACTATAAACAAGAATTTGATAGAAAAATTGGTAAAAGTTTGTAATTTTTTAAAATAACGACTATTAGAAAGAAATATATTTTTATAAAAAAGATGAAATACCAATATCATTTTATAAAAAAGATGAAAAACCAATAACATTTTTATAAATAACCCAAGCCTAGAATAGGTGAACCTAAAGACCTTCAACAAAATTTATGAAAGAAAACCAACATACTCAAGCGACGATAAATTAGAAAAATCTTGGAAACTAGGTGTTGTAATATGTAAATTACTTTGAAATAAAATAGAGGAAAAAGAAGTAATATTCAAATCGAAGTAATATTCAAATCGATTGTTAAACAGAAAAACTTAACGAATTATTAGAATTTTTGAATAAAGACGATGTAAATGAATTGGAAAAGAAAGTATATATATTCGGAAATATTTTACTTAAAAAAAAAGAAAGAAAGATCATGATTTTACGAACTTAATTATAATTTTTTATTTTAATTTTTTATTATTTTAATTTTTTTTTAATTAGTTTAGTTTGATTATAATTTTAACTTATTATTTAATAAAGAGTTAGTATCATTTTAGTTCTACCTT